ATTGTCCCATATCATAGGTTCGCGCGGATCCCAAGACTTACGGTCTCCGTCCCCGATTATGGCTCCTGATTGTACAGATAAAAACTATCCTTAAGTAAGATAAGAAATGTAAAAATGTTAAAATAAGTTTACAGTTTTTTTTATTTTTTATTTTTTTTTTAGCGGGAACATCATAAATATTACAGCATATGGGGATGCTGTGATTTAGTTGTATTTTGCACTCAAACAAATACTACACAGCTACAACTTAACGTCTAAAGGTCGTCAACTGAGCCCGTTTACAGCACTGATCCCCCAGTATGTCTCACAGATTTGAACATAATTACCCTAAAGGAGAGAATCTTTATACAGTTTTATCTCCTTGCAATATCTCTCTCTATATAATTATATACATATGCTATGTAACTTTACGAGATACATATACTACATACATATTTGCAATATAAAAGCTTATTGTAAATGAATATTTAAGCCCAAATTTTGAGCTGCTCATTTGCATTATTAAGTATTTATTTTACTGTTAGTCTGATGGAAGCTTCGTAATCAGCAGCGCTCTATACTTCACTGATATTTGAACAGTCTGTAGCTCTTCGTCACACAATATAGCTCAAGTTCAAGTTCAATTACATACGGTACCCTACTTGAGATCTTTCCTCACTGTAAATGGTTGCCTTGTAAACTGGGTCAGGTTCAATAAAACTGGTCTATTCTGACTGAAAATCAGACTCACGGCATAGGTTCTTTTTTCATTAATTATTTCTCGCATCAACTATTCCAGAATATCAGTTAAAGCCACTGTATGTTAATGAAGCTTGCATTGAATATAGTACGTCCAAGAGCTGTTACTTTGATGTGTGTCAATGGGTTCGGCCGTGCCATGGACCGGCGATGTTCTCGCTAGTGAAGTTGTTGTTGTCTTTGTTCCTGTTCTTGATCAGCGTTATAAAAAGACTCGGTGCAGAGCTTCTTCAATGTCCGAATCTCTCTTACTTACTCACAAAATCCTCTCAGTCCTCTGTGGGACGTAAGGCAACAATGATCCCTCCTGACATATCCCTATTTTGTGCGAAATGCAGTGACTCACCAAAAGTGAGTTTTACTCAACTGAGCTCAGCCATGACAGTTCGGCGCCAGGTTTATTTTTGGTCGACCTGGTTTCCTGAATCTTCCTACGTAAATATAATAATCCCGTTTCAAATAGGCTCTACAAGATGTTTCTCTACGTACGTACCGCAGATTCTCAGACTATACCGATGTGGTGTTAATTTTTTGTTGTTGCTTTGTTTCGTTTTATGTTTTGGTAATTTTTTTTTTTTTTTAGTTCCTCTTATCATATCCCGTTCAATTTTCCAAAATCTTCCCACAGGACTTAGCTGTTAATAACAGACTGCCTGTTTAATGACTTTTAGAAAAGCGGTCTACCTAAAGTACTCGTCTTCTGGGTGCAATAATAAATAGGCGAAGAATACATAGTGGACGCAGAAGGTTATTTTTTACCACTTTACATTATTATTATTATTATTATTATTATTATTATTAAGAAGAAGAAGCAGATGGCCTAAAGTATTTACATTTAATTAAAACTTAAGTAAACAGATCACAGTTTTCCTTTTTCTATATGATTGTTAAACGCAGTGAAAACGTGATAGACTCAAGCAGGTACAAATGCTGACACGATTTTGAAATAGCAGCAAAAAAGTTAAATCTTTCCACTTTTAGAACTGTCGGCGGCTGATAGACACTGCCTTGCTCAACTGAGCGGCGATTGAGAGAAACTGGAAGTTAACTTGCTATGTTTGTTTTGCGAGGTAATCGACTTAATTTTAAATGTAAATCGACCATGCCTCAGAAAAATGTGCACGATCCGGTTAGAGCGGTCCCAAAACGGCGTATTTTGATTTCTAGGGGAAACTAAATGTCTGTTGTGGAGAATACCTCTTCCTTTTTTCTTTCCTTGACAATCATCGACTTCATCCTAGCGACCCTCACCATTTGCGGAAATCTCCTTCTTCTTATCACCATATTGTTCGATCCACTTCGATGTCTTCGCACACCCACTACGTATTTGATCGCCAACTTGGCTTTCAGCGACCTCTTAGTTGGACTTTTAATCGGTTACGGCCGCGCTGTGGTTGAATACCTTCAGTATGTCGACGAACCCGAACCAAAGTGGATAGCCACTGTCATCAATATAGGAGGGGGAGCAACTCTTGTTTGTGGGATATGGACAGTAATAGCACTGGTATTAGACCGCTACCTAGCAGTCACCGATCCTTTACGCTACAGCGAGAGAGTAACAGCACGTCGAGTGGTTTTGTACATCTTACACAGTTGGCCGCTGGCGATGACATTACCAGTGTCCTATTCGTTTGCAGGGAAATCTTGGCCAATCGTTTTATTAGCGTTCTCCCATACACATTTTACAATTCCCGTTCTTTTGTTGCTGGTTGTTTATTTTCGCATTTTTCGTTCGCTGTCCAGACGAAGATCGGAGCTCGTGAGACTAACCGCGTCCATTTCAACGATGACGCTCCGTCACACTCTTGAGACAGAAAGGAAAATGGCAAGCACATGCCTGATGATCTTGATCTTGTTTTGTGCATCATTTTTGCCATGTTATATAAAGATCCAGATTTTAAATTTCTGTAGATGTCTAGATTCTAAGCCATACAGAAAGTTTTCCTTTGTTGCTCATATTTTTCTGTACTTGTCTTCGCTCATGGATCCTTTTATGTACGCCTGGAGGGTGCCAAAGTTTCGGCGTTCGTTGCGAAAGTGCCTCAAATTCAAGAAAAGAAATACTGTACGTCCGACAGCATTAAACAGGGACAGACAGAGCCAAAACAATGCATATATGACTATCATAAACCTTGACAGTATCTTCTAGAGTGTTTCCCACTAACCAGGTTTGCGACAAGTCGAAAACTCTCATTAGATTGCACAATCTCTTTTCAGGTAAGGAAATGAAATTGGCAGCCTTTCGACAGTACTAGTGACACATTTACTGACTGAGAGAATATGTGTGCACAATATGCACGTATATTCCCCAGAAACGAGTGGGATTTTATGTAAATAACTACGTCAAATAAATGTTCCTAAGAAAAATGAACGCTAATTTTTGACGCCAAAATATGACATCTAATTATTGTTCTAGTTAATCAGAATGGTTGGCCTGGGGTAGTTGTAAAAGCAGTGCAAAACGTACGTAAGAAAGGATAAATCTCTTATAGTAACATGATCCGTGTTTAATGCGGAAAAAATGGTCTGAATTCTATAAAATGAATAAATAAATACATTTTAAAGAAATAATGAAATGAATAAATTTTTTTTCTAGAAATACTGCACATTGGAGGTATATGGCATTCCTTTAACTCGGGTTTAGAACTGATTGATAAATCATATGTTGGAGAGCTGTTTTTGAAAACGGATCTTAATTCACCTAACGCATTCGCAGTTAACTTTTAATCAGTAATCCTCGCAGGAATTTAAAAAAAACAAAAACAAAAACAAAAATAAAAACAAAAAACAAAAACAAAATGAAAACGAAAACAAAGGCAAAACAAAAATAAACAGAAAGATATTTGGAATATAATCAATTTTTCGTCTCACTCGATAATAATTCTCATAGAAGAGTACCGCATTTCATGACGTTGAAAATTACCAGAATCAGATGATTCGCTCAATTTTACTATTATGGTAATCGTATTTCCTAATGTTATTTGTTCACGAGTTGTTTACATAAATCGCCGAACACGATTTAATCTATTTTTCCACCGTACTAACACCGAATCCAATAATTATGCTTATAAAGAATATCCATGATGAGCGACCATTTCCTAATAAATTAAATAAATCAGGGTAGTCTCCCAAAATTAACGAAAATTAAATCGCTTCTTCTTTCCCCACCCCCGTGTGTTCTTCGCTTTCTTCTAAGCCTCCAAACAGCGTGATGCTCTGATAGGTACGTGTCTTCACTGCGGTAATAATCTTAACTTGGCAGAGTTATCAACACTGCGAAGCACGAGATGACTATCCCGACGAGCTGCAATAAAATAAGCACACAAAGCTTGGTTTAATTTGTCTCAGTCATTTGGCCTTAAGCCCTGTGTCCCACTGTCTGTATATACGTTTAGCAACGAACAAAACGATTTTACATCGGAAGTAACATTGAACTGGGCGCCAAAAGTTTAATGTTTAGCGATGCGTTAAACCAATCACCATGGGAATTGCCTTCATATCGTGTGCTCGGATTTCAATATGTAAGCTACCTTCTACTTAGAAAACTGAAGTTCTCTTAAGTAACGCCTATTTTTCCGCTTAAATAATGGATCATGACTCACAGTGTTGCGACCAAATATCGTCACATTGTACAATCACGGGCAATCCCCCGCCCACCAAACCCACCAAATTCGAACAAGCTACTTTCATCATATCTAAGTTGAGTAACAGCCTGCACATGATCTAAGTAAGAATTGAGGGATTTTGAAAATTTGAATGAAGTACGCGGGAAGTGAGAGAGGTAAGTCAACTCTTTCCGTCGGATAATAGTTTTCTCATAAGCTTTCTATGGCCATAAGTGTTTTTTTTTTTAATTTTAAATAATCAAAGCAAACCTTTCAGTGTAAGTGTCTTAGAAAACGTACCGAAAGTCCAAGGGATTTGTTTATCACTACCAATCCTCCAACAGACAACCCGATGGGTTCTCCACGAAGATGCATCAGAAACTGAACAGCTTAAACGATAGGAATAAATATTACTACAGGTATGTAATTCACACTCCATTTCTCCCTCTAAACTGTCTATCAGTAGCTCTACATGTGTGTAATATCCATCGGCTTAGTTAGAATGCATATACTGCTAATTGTATTGACCAGCAGGTAGGAGGTAGGTAGGTAGGTAGGTAGGTAGGTAGGTAGGTAGGTAGGT